AGCCCTGCACATTTCCTTTCTCGAATATTTATCCAAGTTCTCTTTGAATGTTACTATTCAATCTGCTCTCACTGCACTATCAGACAGCTAGTCCCTTCGAGATATGAACATTTATTTTCATACAGTAATTATCTCCTCATTGGTTGTTCTGGCAACTGGGGATTTTAGTACCCTAGGAACTGACACATCAGCTAGTGAAAACGACTTTTCCTTAATTACTCTATCAAAACTGATGTTGAATCTATTAAATCTTCCTACAGCCTTGCTCTAGGATACGCAAATCCAGATCCTCCAGTGTCCCTGTATACTGAAGTCCCTCAGCCCAGTACCATTCTACTAAAACTCATCCACCACCTCTGCAAGGCATTGAATTCCTTCCAATAGTGTGGTGCTCGATTTGAAATAGGTTGAGGTCTAAACCAGTGATTTATAAAGGATTAGCCGAGCTTCCTTGTTGTTTGGCTCTCTGTCCTTTAACTTCATAATATGAATGGAAAATATTTGATTCCTAGTTTCTAAACTCACAGATAGGATAACTTTCTAGTTACCAATTATTACACTCTGTGTCTTTGAACATAGAACAATACAGCAGAGTACAGGCCCTTCGGCTCACGTGGTTGTGCCGACCCATTATGCTACTAAGATCAATCTACCCTGCATACCCTACATCTTACTATTCTCCATGTGCCTATCCAAGAGTCGCTTAAAAGTCTCTGGTTCAGCCTTTCACCTTTGTGATGTTAACTTTGAAACATGCAGTTTCTGTCGACACCTGTCCGAGAGAAAGATGCCCAATGGTTTGAACTAAGCAGGTCCAGCACAACTGGAACAACAACCCTTTTCATAGTTTAGCATGAGAATAACCGTCAAGGATCGCCGCAGCTTTCATTTAGTTCATTTCAGCAGGGCTGGATTTTGAACTCTCCTGGAAGCTAGTCAGGGAAGAATGTACTGAGTTTCAGCAATACTTTGCACAGACCAGAGATTATTTTGGAGCCTAGAGGCTGTTAGCCATAGTCTCCAGCATTAAACTTTCCACAGATTGCAACAGCTGAATTCACTGGCATGAATGCCTTTTAATTTGACATGCTCAGGGCAGATTATTTTCTGGAAGAAGGCTTGAAATGATTTTAGCAAAACAGCAGCCAACATCTTGTCATTCCTTATTGAAGCGACTACATCCATCAATCGCTGTGTCAGCAGTTTATAATTAGGAACCTACTTGGCAACAGGTAAAACCATGACTCTGCCTGGAAATCATGAGCTTAATCAATGAGTAAAGATTTATATCTGTTGATGGTCCAGATGGATATGTATGTGTTTTGCCAGAAAACTCATGTGAAGCAGGTGGAATTAGTTGCCACACATGGCAACCAAAGTACGGCCTTTTAGTTTGACCAACGTGTTTCAGTAACAGATGGGGAGCAATCATGTATTGGGAAGGTGCAGGGTTTGGCTAACTCACTGCAAGGATAACTTTGCTGCAAGACTCATCAATCTTTTCTCACACTTTGAAAATTATACCTGCGGATGATTATCATCAAGCAGCCAGCAGAGGTTTTAAAAAAAATCAAAATATGAAAACCTCCTGAAGTGAAGTGGGACACAGGAGGTACAGATTCCTGTGTGTGTGCATTCCCAGCCAGCTAGCTTGGGAAAATCTTGTGCAGCACCCATTGGGAGTCAGACAATGTGTCACCTCCCTAAAGTCCAGTACACTCTTTGCTTTCCTATGATAACACTTTCAGAGCTCACATTTTATTATGTGCACTGGTTAATTGAGTTAAACTTTACATCTCCCCTAAACAGCACTTATTTGAGGAGAAAACAGAGTTAACGTTTCGGGTCCGGTGACCCTTCCTCAGATTG